AAATTATAATTATATACATACATAAATACAATACATCGTACTATAGGAAGTTATTATTTACGTACCATAAGTATACCTATTTATTTGACTATATTCTATAAGACATTACGTCAATGTTATTCAGACCTCGAAATTAATGATCAAGGTTGTGCTGTTTTAAGTTTAAAGCAATAAAGATACAACAAAAGCTATATTTTTTCTGCATAARAATGTTATTCTTGAATTGCATTTTAAAATGGATATTGTACGTTAGAATATTTTTTGGCAATGTACATGATACAAAATATTATGCTATTGAACGGCACTGGTTGTGTGTACACATATAATATACCTATAGGATTAAAATGAGTACCTATGTAAAATTATATTATTATAGATACGTCATGTACAGCTGTAGTGTATGCCGGAACAAAGCGTATTGTTGATTTTTTATATTTTTATTATGTAACCGGATCATTCGGTGAAGGACCATAAGAATACTATAAATTATATTATCTAAGATTAGGTTAGGTATTATCTAAGGAATCTAAATAGCATTTAATACTATTAAATAGTCGGTATAGAGGTATRCGAATTCAGGATTTTACATTTACTAATATAATATTTGTGTTTGGAATAATCAGATGGAAAATGGAGAGTAAAAATATTGTTTASCAATGAAAACCGCATCGTTWTCAATTATTACAATATAGTTTACAGTATAATATACATATATCAACTGACAACTGTCAAATGTCAAATGTCACTAACTAAGAAGTTAAAAAATTAATGGGAGAATAAAATTGTTATCTATTCTTAGGTATAGTATATTTATAAATGAGTAGCATATATTGAATAAAAATAGTTTTTGAAAAATAAGTATATTGATTTTGCCAGAATGTTGATCTCGTGTTAGTAACACGATGTTAGCAGCGTTTTTTRATTGCTACGTACCTAATCACAAAATATGTCTTAGAAAACGTCCAGACAATTATTATACAACTGGGAAAACTTTTAACGATATATAAAGGAATTTTGACGTCTTTGTGTTGTCAGTCACCAAAAAAAATTAAAGCTGCTGTATACAAAAGTGTCTTTCCGTTTGAAATAAATACGTTTGATAAAAACGACAAGCACTTTAAAACGTCCAATGYACGTGATAAAACGCACGCGAATTCACAAAATGTATTGATTATTTTATATTATTGCGTATATAATTGAAGTTTGCGGTAGTAACTTAGGGGCACTTTGGTATTGYTCTAGTATGATTTTATATAATGAGTATTGGACATTGGTCGCGACGGTTTGAATTTTTTTTTTGTTTTGCGATTTCGAGAATTTCGTCCAGTTATCAAAGCCGAGTCACATCGAGAGTTGGTTGTGAATTATTTTTAGCTCTTTTGTGCAGATACCYACAATCTATACCGATGTTCTACGCATATCAAATATATATTTACGTGAAACAGATAATTGATAAGTAGTAATATGTTTGGTAACGTGTTTTTATATAGTCTTTCTTTACCTATGTATACCTATTATTATTATTATTTCGAGCGTGATAGAAAAACTTCAAGGATGGATTTTTTTTTGCTCTAGATAGCACGCCGTACGGCCCGTGCGAATAAACAATAATAATAAYATAATATTATTGTATAATAATATAATATATTTTGCAGACGACTTCTCGCAAATATTTACCATCCGATTTACACACTCACACACGTCATGACGACGGTGCACATAATTTGTTTAAGCCTTTTCGTCAAAATAATATATATTCACGTACATATACTATATAGGTGTACTTACAAAACGATTTTAGTTTGGAGTTGTATTCATATTTTATTTCCGTTTTGTCTACCGTACCTATTATATGCCTAACTGATTCTGCGGTAACTATTATTATAGGCGTATAATACTGCCCCCACAAGAGCTAGTACAGTTTGTTTTTCCTCGATTCCATTGTCTCCCGATCACAGTTTTCCTCAATATTTGTTTGCATGATAATATACGCGTAGGAGGAAAATATTATAATGTAGCCTCATTGTTACGACGTGCATTATTGTGTACACGTGCGTAACAATTTGACTTGCAATCTGACGYGGCCGTGCGTTTATGAGATGTATTAAATATGACAAAATGTACGATAATATGATATTGTATTGAAATCTCCCTCTAAAATATCATATTATAACAATGTACCAATTAAAATAAATAAACTTTTTTGAACATAACGTGTTTGAAAATCACCTGTAGTGTGAGTGTTTGTGTATGTGTACACTGAACCCTTCTTGTTTAAATTTTAATATTACTCTGTCAGTATTATTGTATTTCGCATTGGTAGACGAGAAGCATTTGGAATGCGAACAACAATAAATAGCGCTGCACTATATATATACGAACATTCTATAATGATTATTGCACGCTTCTTAGGCATTAATTGTGATAAAATACTCTCTCAATGATAATAATAATTGTGATTACCGAAACCTACCTCAGCACGATCATCGGGCATGTTCTACACACGAGACAAATGTTTAAAAAAATAATCAAATAAAAGTTCTTACAAAAAAAAAAAAACAAGGTAAAAAATACTCACCAATTTAAAAAATGAAACGAGTTTACTATATCAACTATTATTATTTCATTACTATTATATTATTATTCAACTGTTGTTTTAAGTTTTTTTTTTTAATTTTATTTTTTTAGTATTTTTTAAAGTTTTTATTCGTTTATTTTTTAAAACTGTTTATGTTGTTATAACATAAAAAAACAGATGGTGACAAACAGAATGATTTTTTTATGAATAATAGTCAAAACTCTTATATATTATTCAAGTTTAATTTGTAGGTACATTTTAATTTCAATGTAGTATAATGTAGGATTACTAGCTACTACCATTAATACTTTTTACTACATCTAACTTTCAACAATCTGAATTTTTATTTTATTTTCTGTTAATATTACATTGTTTTAATGTTATTTATTTAATTTTTGTTTGTTCTTTTGTTGTAATAATTTGATATCGTGAAAACATTATACTACTAATAATAATATTATTATTGTCTCGCCGCCGCCGCCGTGGCTTTCCCGCGAAATAGGACCCTCGCACCTAGCTCTACTCTCATCGCGCAATCTCCCTTTCCATCCGGTCGCACTTATGTTCGATGTATCCGTTATATTGGTATATTGTTCACAGTTGGAACGGTGATGGTACTGATGGTGGTGACGGTGGTCGTGTTGGGTACTGTCGGGCTGCTCACTTGCGTGCTGCATCACTACAATCAACAATACAACCCGCCCGTGCCCTGTCTGTCGGCAGCGACCGGGCCGCCGCACCGCAGGCTTACCGCGCCGCCGCCACCGCTGACCAAGAAGAAAAAATCGACGACGACGACGACTACGACGGCGGTGGCGGCGGCGGCGACGGCTGTGACGACGACGGCTATCATCGCATCGCCACCACCGCTCTCGACTACGAACGGTGCCCGTCGTACCGGCGGCAGCTGTTGTAATAGTAGCAGCACGTCCTCGCGAACCGCCGTAAGTGTGCACCCTCCAACCCCGACGAACCGCTCGGTCGGTCGGTCGCTCGCCTAGTCAACTCGGCTTTTGTTGTTGTTGTTGTTGTTGTTGTTGTAGTACGCGTCCTAGGCGGCGGGCGACAGCGCGTGGTGTCGGCGGCGGAGTACCGTTCGCCGCCGCCGCACTCTCATTTATTCACCGCAGTCGTGTTGGCAACGTAGCGCTCCCGAGCGGTTGGATTCAAATGTATTGATTATGATAGGGTCATATGGCTAGCGCTCGTGTATTTAATAGTATACCGTGTGTATATAATATAATATATATACATATATTATATACTTAGATAGATAAGTGTGTGTGTGTGCAGTCGCTTACATATTATGTATATAATATAATACACATAATATAAATATGGTGTGTACGTGTGTGTTTGTGTTTGTGTGTATGGCGTGGCGAAGGGCCGCGCGTGACGTTTGCGGTGGTGCCAAGTTTAAAATGGGTCGTCCCAGATTCACACGCGTGCCGCGGCGGTTCTTCTGTTGTACGACTATGACGACGACGAACGCGTATACGTTAGTCACCSCAACGCCTCCTCCTCCTCCTCCTCCTCCACATTGCCTCCGAGGCCCAACTATAGCTATACGACTAGACCACCATTCCCTGTACTCTGCGTTCCCCATCACTCCGGCAGTAGCTATATATCTTATGTAATGTATTATTATATCATGAGAGGAAAATCGTAATGTATCGGAATGTACACGCGATCGTCTCCCCGGTTTCCGGTTGTACGCGGATATTAAGGCTATATGTATAGTCTGAGAACGCAGCTACGAAATAACTTGCAATACGATAAATTGTATATGTTGCAGGATAGGACTACGTGTTTGTTCACTGTTATACAATAATTTTTCATAGTAAGGATTTGATAAAATCCTGTAGGGTAGGTACCTATATTTGAAATACGAGACACCTATACCGCTGTTGAAATAACGAAATGTACGTTTTTAACAGCTGCTATTATTTTTATATATAACACGCGCGGTGAAATATATATATAAAAAATACAAATGGAATGTTTGTGGAAAAACTTGCATGAACTTATTTCAACTACCCAAGTTTGATTTTATTTAGAAACTATTGTTCAACAGAATCGGTGAACTGAAATTCAACTATACCAGTCAGAACAATAAATGACCAACTTTGACCAGTCTTTCACATATAAATTGTGTATTTAATACCTTTAATAATTATATATATATTTTATTTATTCACATATCTGTTATAAAAACGAGTTCCGTTTGTTTATCCATAAAACGAGTATTTTTGACAATCGATAATTTTTTTTTTTAATTTAAAATTTACATCTTTACACTCTCCGACAGAAGATTCTTAATGGTCTGAAAAAATGGACATCATGTACATAAAGCATCAATTTTCTTTTTTATTCGTATTTKATGTGATGTTAAAGGAAATGAAGATTTTTTTATGAGCGTTTACGAATATTTGTGGGAATTATTTATTTGTTTTTTTAATATTATGTACATAATTTACACGTGGATAATCCAAAGTATAATTTAGTGTAGGTACACAAAATTATATTATTTGTCAGTTGCGCAAAAAAATAA